TATATAACACTACCTGTAGAAGTGTGCCACGGCCTCCGCCAACTCGGGAGTCATGACTGGCTGGGTGAGTCTGAGGTACTTGGGGTCTATTGCCAAGTAAGGTCTGTCAGTCATCTTGAGTGATGCCCGCATAAGACCCGCAGGCAGTTCGTAATACTTTAGGCTCTGGGGATGTGCATTCATGGCTTGTGGTGGGGGTGGTGCTGTATAGGCTACCGGCAGTATAGGCGTGTGTGAGGCGAATACAGACTCTACGTCGCGTACCATGTCAGCCGTCTGTGGGTGGTGGTGATATAGGTATTCAGGGTTTTAGGGTTTTGAGGTTTTAGGGTTTTAGGGTTGTGTATGGGTAGAGTCGGATTATAGCAAGACAGAACATATCGACAATTGATTGGGGTATACTTCGCGTGTGACACTCATGAAGAATAATGAAACCATAATTAAGGATACCTAGTCCTAAACCCTAAACTAACCCGACTCATACAAGCCCACCCCGGACATCAGGCATTGTACAAACCTTAAACCCTAGACTAAATCGCCTCTAGAATTCATGTAGTGATCTACACACAACTATGCGATTACAGAAGCCGATGCATTCGAGTACATGCCACACCCAGAGACCACACACAGATACCACACATAGACCACATAATCAATACTTGCTGAATCACAGATACCACACATAGATCACACAATCAATATGTGCCAATTCCCGAGCATGTATGTGCTATCAACCACGGCCCACTCAATACGACAGGCCTCGGAACGGAATACGTTTTGGGGGGTAATCACTTCCCAAGGGTTAGGTTTTTAGGTCCATGGCTGTGGTTTTAAGAAAATTCACAACTCATGTGAAAAAACATATGCTTTGGGAAGCTACTACCCGCTCAGAAATCAATTCGTTCTGAGACCTGTCCTATTTGCAATGCCCTGTACCGGTCCTACGACACACAGGTGCACTCTGTCAAGCACGCCTTTGCGTACGCGGTTAGGGGCGAACGCTTGTTACTGAAAGACACCCGAGCCAGCACAAATAAGTAGGTAAGACAGGCCATATCGTCTCAGAGTAATAAGTAGGTAAGACAGAGCATGTCGTCTCAGAGTGGCTGAGGTGGATTCAAAATACAAGCACAACAGATCCTGCACATCCCAACGCCAATTGAAAGGCCAGACTCCTATGAACACATGTGTCACGTTGCTACGTCAGCGGTATGCCTGTAGTCCGACACCAGTCTATGATTCACAATGGTACCTACACCAGTCTATAACTGGCAATGGTACCTACACCAGTCTATGACTGGCAATGGTACCTACACCAGTCTGTGACTGGCAATGGTACCTACACCAGTCTATGACTCACAATGGTACCTACACCAGTCTATGACTGGCAATGGTACCTACATCAGTCTATGACTGGCAATGCTACCTACACCAGTCTATGACTCACAATGGTACCTACACCAGTCTATGACTGGCAATGCTACCTACACCAGTCTATGACTCACAATGGTACC